CCGCGGCCAGCATCCCTAGTACCACCTGTGGTGCCAAGTGAAGTGGCAATCAGTAAGGCCAACGTCACCAGGCCGTTGGCCAGGAAGAGGCGGAGACCCCAACTGAGACTCAGATCTTGAAGTGAGCTTGGCCCAGAGCTTGGCATCAGTGGGCTGTAGTGAATAATTGTCTGATGACGGCTTCTGTTGTAGCCTATGGTTTGTATGAAGCAGGTATTGCTTTTGCACATTTCACAGACGTGAGACAGCCAAAGCCTGGAGACACCTGCCTTTAGTGACACGGTTAGGACTGGCAGATTCCAGACCTGGGTACGTCTAGACCGTAATTCGAGTCCCTTCACCAAGCTAAAACAGAGGGAGTGATTGTACACATGTCTATTTTTTTCCCTCTCTTGGAGCCACTCGTATTGTTCATTGCGGTTTGAGCTTTTGCTGCCCAGTGGTTTTGAATTTTAAATGTTGATGTAGCTTCACAGTTAACTGGAGTAATGTATAAGCTGTTAGCAGATCCTCTGTCCGACTTGTAGGGTCTGTGTTTGGAAAGGCTGACTCATGCGCCTATGGGAACGCACCTTGGGTGCAGGTACTCCCAAGTCTGTGAGGTGGATGTGCCCCTCCTAGGAAAGCTCACCGGTGAGAAAACAGCCTGGAAAATGCGGCCCCACCCAGGAAGCCAGGCTGACCCAAATTGTGGTCTTGGGACACAAGAGCCTGGGACCAGCGTAGAGTTAGAATTTTGCATGGCCAAACTCTCCCTGTGGCCTCAAAGATGACTTGAAACCAGCAGACGCTCTGGGGTGTGGCACCAGCCCCTCCCTGGCTGCCAAGAGCAAAAACTATACATTATTCACAGGCGGCTGCCTCTGCCCTGCCCTGCCCTGCCCTGCCCTGCCCTGCAGTGAGGAGGCAGGCCATGCCTGCCACGCCGGGGCTTAACCCTGTCTTTGCTTGTTGCCCTTTTCCTTCCCAGCTCTTTGCCCCACCTGGGTTACATGCCCCCCCCCCCCCCCCCCCCCCAGGGCTGTGGACATATATTTGGAGGGATTCTTCCCCAGGCTGGCAGACAAGAGTCTCTCTTAAAGCCTTAAACAGTTGGAACCTTTTCCAAGGTAGGGGTCCTTCCCCAGTTTAGACCCTACCCGAAATCATTGTCGTCCCCACCCCCCTTCAGTCTGTGCAGTTTCTGTTGGAGCAGCTGATTTGGTCAGACACGTTCAACCTGGACTATCCAAAGATGGGGATGGCGGCCGCTTCAGTGAGTCCCATGTCCGTCCGTCTGTCCCCCCCCTCCCAGGCACAAGCCTGTATGATTGGTACTCAAGTATCACCCCGTTTTATTTGTTTCTTAGAACCCAGCTCTGAAATGCTCTGCTCTCCCAGGATTTACTGCCAGGTTGATCTTCAGATAACGAAGTGCTCAGCCCAGAAGGGGTCCTGTGGGTCCTGGGCTCCGACTCTCTCGAAGCTCTGTGGTGTTCCCTTGGCCTAATCTCTGAGAAGTGAAGATAACCGTTACATAAGAGTTGTCTGTGCTGTGTGGGTTATCCTGGGGACATGGCTCTTTTGATCTGCTTCACCGAACAAGGCCTTGGGCCTCCTGTTCCAGGGGACCTAGGGACTGGCTCTGAGCCCGTGACCTCAAGGCCGACTTAACCCTTTTCTTGCTCTTAACCAGCCCCTTTGCCCCCTCACCTCTTTTCCTTAGGATTCTCATCCAGGTGAAGCCCCAGGGCACACAGCTGTGTATGTGCAGCCAGTGGTCTGGGGCCTGAGCCTGCTTGTTTCCCTATGTGGAGCCATGGCCCTCCCTTGGTCTTCCTAGAGAGCAGCATCAGATTCGATCTTGGAAGAGAAGACATCTTTGCTGTTAGGTCATGAGCTCTTCAGATATAACCTTCTACAGACTCGTCATCTAATAGGAAGTGATCCAACAGACTCAGAAGGGCCAGCAAGCCCCAAGGGGCCCGGTGGTAGACGAGGGGGTGCGGTGTGTCCCCCGCCCCCAGCGGAGGGGCTGCGGCCTTGCTGGAATGCTGTGTCACTACCCATGTCACCCCACACCATTAACTCCCGGCTTGTGTGCATTGCTTCCGGGTCAGAGTCAAAGCCTTGTGCTTGCTACCACTCTATTTCCCTAGGTTTTTTTCTTTAAAGATCTCACTACGTAGCCTAGGCTAGCTGCTTCCTGAGTGCTGGGGCTGTAGGCTATTTCTTTCTTTGTTTGTTTTATTTTTTTCGAGACAGGGTTTCTGTGTATCAGTCTTAGCTGTCCCGGAACTCACTCTGTAGAACTCACAGAGATCCTCCTGCCTCTGCCTCCCAAGTGCTGGGATCAAAGACATGCGTCACCACTGCCCAGCCCAAAGCTATTCAGTCCTTACCGGCTTTGGAATAGTGTCCCGTCTGAAGCTGGGTGGTCTCTGCTATGCAGATTCAGCCATGCAGCTGCGATGTGTACGGAGTGTACACAGGGTGACCGTCTCTTGGTAGTATTACTTTCTCAATGCAGTGCCAACTGTTTCTGGAGCGCTGAGTGCGACCTTGTAAAGGCATGGTAAATAACCCAGAGAGGATTTAAGCTGTGTGGGAAGAGATGCCTAAGTAACTGGCAAATCTTGTACCATTTCTTTTATAAGGGACACGAGAAGTTTGCTATCTATGGAGAAGTCAATTTACCCTGTCTTCCGAGGAACAATTGTTTTTGTTTTGATTTTTCAAGACAGGGCTTCTCTGTGTTGCTTTGGAGTCTGTCCTGGAACTAGCTCTTGTAGACCAGGCTGGTCTCGAACTCAGAGATCTGTCTGCCTCCCGAGTGCTGGGGTTAAAGGCGTGCAGGTGCCACTGTGCCCAGCTTGGGCTACATACTTTACATTTTCTTTAGAAAATTTTAACCCACAGTAACAACAGTTGTTACAGGGGTGGGGTGGGGGCTACATTGATCCTGGCAGCCCCCCACGGAGCTTCAGCCTTGCCCACAGAGCCAAGGAGATGAGCATATTGTCCGTGTTATCATTTCTCCAGTATTGCCTGGAGATAGCCAGAACAGTGTAGAAACTAAAAGTGTGGTCAGTTGATGTCCATCACAATCGTTAGGACCCAGGAACCTTTTTATATCTGGATGGCCTTCCACCAGTAGGTCCCTTGGTGGCCATTCCTGGTGTATTTATGCCACCGCCACGCGGGGTCACGCATGGAACAGTGCTCTCCTGGAGAGTCCAGCTGTGAGCATGGTGAGCTTTGGCTGCCTGGGAGAGGCGTGTCTTCATGCTTTTTCCTGGTTGGGGTACACCATCCGAATTCAGCTGCTCCTGCAGATTGGCCTCCCTTTCCCCTTCACCGCTTGAGTTTGAATCTGACTGTTCAAATGTCCTTTGCATTTTCAAACGTTTGTCTACGCCAGAGCCTTGGAGAGCTATCCAGTTTAGCGGAAATGACCTACAGGCCCTGGAGTAAGCTAGAGCTTGCCCTGGTACCTAGTGGGGATGCGGTTGGAAGGTCCTATCAGCTACAGACCTCTCGCGTTACTTCTCCTTTCACAGAGGCTAACTAGCTCATTTGTGGGGGGATCAACTGAAGGGTCCCACGTGGGGACACTTAAAGGCTGCTGGAGGGTCGGGTGGTGAGAGTTGCTGGGATTTGGGGCCAGCATCGAAGTTTCCTCCCTCGAGGCAGGTTAATTCGCTTCCCAGAACTCGGTCTTGCCTGGGCTTTGATGGGAGAGTTAAGTGTGATCCGTTAGGTGCCTGGTGCCGTTAGGTGCCTGGTGCCGTTGCTTCAGGAGGGGATTGCGATTACGTCTGCACCTGTGTTGCCTTAGCTAGCGTTTCCCTTGCTAGGGTCAGGCTGTGATCAACAGCAACTTGGGGAGGAAAGGGTTTACTTCTTAGAGTAAGGAAGTCAGGGCAGGAGCCGGAAGGGAGAAACGGATGCAGAGGCTGTGGGGAATGGCCGGCGTGCGCTTGTATTACACCCAAGGCCACCCACCATCCAATCAAGAAAATGTACCACAGGCTTGCCCGGAGTTCAGTCTAACGCGGGCATTTTCTCAAGAGAAGTTCCCTCTTCCCAAATGACTCTTCTCTGTGTCAAGTTGACAAAAACCAGGTAGGACTTGAGATCTTCAGGAGATAAAGTATTAGTGAATTCTAAAGGATCATGGGAGAATTTAACGGGTGGGTATTTCCCCTTTGAGTTTACTGGGAGAGAGAATGTAGGGAGAAGTAGGCAGGGTGGTGGGTAGAGGTCTGGTCACTGGTATCTTGGCATAGGGACCTTCTGGTGGTTGGCATAGTTTGACAAATCATTGATGCTACTGCTGGTGACTTGGCACTTTTTACCTGCTGTGTTTGCTACTAATACAGACCGTGAAGCTGGAGAGACCATAACATTAATAAAATGTGCTTGGGAGAAGCTCGGGATGCATATTTGTAAATACTGTTCGAAGCAGTGGCTACAGACAGGAGGCAGAGGCACAGATCTCTGTTACTTCCTGGTCAGCCAGCGTTATACAATGAGACATGTGCCTGGCTGTGGTGGCGCTCAGGAGGCAGAGGCAGGCAGATCTCTATAAGTTCCAGGACAGCCAGGGCTACACAGAGAAACCCTGCCCGGTGTGTGTGTGTGTGTGGGATAGAATAAATAGGTAAATAAACAATTGTTTGAAGTGGAAATGTCTGGTAGCTGGTACTGTGCCAAATGATATTTTTGTGGAAGGAAAATTCAGCAAAGACAGATCTGCAAAATAATATTTAATGAAGTCTTGGTTTTAGCGGCTGCTGGATTGATTTTCCTCTAGGAAGACCGGTGTGGGGGGTGAGAAGCACACTCGGTGGCCAGCCCGCTGGGTTTGAAATAGAGCAGCGGCGAGGGTCTCAAGGAGCAATGTGCCTGGCTACTCTTTTGAGGAGTGCAGAAGAATCCTGGTTTTTCTGCATATCTCCTGCCCCCCCCCCCCCCCCCCCCGCGTTGTTCATGTGTGACATAACTTGTTTTTCTTCTAGGATGTGGAGAAAGAGAAGGAAACTCACAATTACCTCAGCAAAGAGGAAACCAAAGAGAAAGTCCATAAGTACAACTTAGCCGTCACAGACAAGTTGACGATGACCTTGGTAAGTACCTCCTGGTTCAGTTGGCTCTTCCCAGAAGACAGATGGGGGCAGGGAGATGGCTCAGCAGGTACAAGTTAGCAGGTTTGATCCCCAAGACCCATGAGAAGGCCAGATGGAGCGGTGCACATCTGTAATACCAACACCCCTTCGGAGAATCGGGGACCTCCGAAGGAGCTTCGGGCCCTGGTAGCCTGGGATCAGCAGCAGCAATAGGAGAAAGCCCACCGTGGCCTCCCTGAGCAAGCTGTGGCCCACGTCACGTAGCCCCTCATGGGGCCACACACCAAGTAATACACGGGTTAGTCAAAAAAGTAAAAATACGAGGATTCCCTAGTACGATTTGTCTGTTCTTAATGTAGTAACAGTTCACGGGCCACAGGAAAAGGGGGCATTTCTGCAACTTTCAGAGTTTAATCTCTTTGTAGCTGAGGTTGAAATGATTAAGTTGGGGGGGGCACCCTGCCCCCTCCCCCCCCCCCCCCCGCCCCCGGCACAGAAGGTGAGATTGGGGTGGGTGAGAAGGCTCTGAGGGCGAAGACCCTTTCTTGGACTGCACATGAACGTGGGAAGAGACAGACAACTCCCAGAGTTGTCCTGACTTCCACGTGCGCGCTGTGACGCAGGTGCCGGCCCAGGCACGATAGTGCAGTGCATTAACACCTTACCGGAATAGATCTGTGGCTCCTCCTCGCCGGGGTGCCGTCTGACATGTCTGAAGCAGCCCCCATCCTAGGAAGACTTCCTTTGATTTCTTCCCGGTGTGGAATAGATTTGGAAGGATCTATTGTGCCCTCGGATCAGCGTGTAGTCAGCTAAGAGCTTTCTCCCCTTGACCGTCCATATAAAGCGTGTTATAGAGCATTCAACGTCCTTCAAGGTAGCGTTACGAGTTTCTACAGCATTGTCCTACACCGTGTGATGCACAGAGCCAGCAGGGCCAGGGACACTGAACTGAGGCACCCACCATGCTCTGGTGCCGATTCCCAGGGCTGTGGACCCCGGTCTGTTACTGTCACTTTTGCCTGTGAACTGGTAGAGATCTTTGAAAGGTCACAGTGACCTGCTTAAAAGTGACCCATGTGAACTTTAACCTGTGGGCCGGAGCTTTCACACAGAAGCCCTGTGACAAAAGATGCCTCCCCAGTGGCCTTAAAGGGAGCAGGAGAAGGTGGGGGTGGGGGTCAGATAACCCCAAGGTATCGGTAACTTCACTAGTCCAGCTTCAGGGTTTCCCTTCCCCCTCCCCTCCCCCCTCCCCGCCTTCCATCTGTTTTACTTACTGTATGCCTGTGTCTTTGAGCGCGTGGGTGCCCTTCCTTGGAGGGCAAAACATACAAGAATGAACCAGGAAATCTGTAAACTGACCCTGAAGAAAATAAGAAAAATAATGGAAGTTCTTGACGCTCTACCACATAGTATTTATTAAAGCAACACTGATGATTTGTTTTAACAAAACATGATAGCGATGCGTTCTTATAGAGGTGAAGACTGCCCGGGCAGCTAGAAGTGGCGGTCCAGTTTTTGTAGCGGAGATCCAATGTTTGTAGGAAACCATCCCTGTCGTTGACGAGGTTTGGGCATGCGTGTCCCGAACGGTGCAGCCGAGGTAGTCAGCTCCCACTGGGGACAAAGCCAGCCTGTCCGTTGTCCTGGTGTCCACTCATTGCTGACTTGGTCTCAGGGCCCTCACTGTGACCTTCCTTTTGGAGGGGGGTGGGGGTCTGGAGCCCCGGGCGGAGATGACCTCGGCTTCGGTGTAGCAGGCATGTGCTGACAGGACAACTTTGTCCTCTCAGATGGCTGCTGACCCAGCACGGGAGGCTTCGGGGGCTCAAGCCTCAGGGCTGGGCAGCGGCAGCATTTTCCTCCGCCGCATCCGCGTCCCCATTGAGGTCGCCCCGTGTGGTGTGGCTTAGACGGTGTACCCCTCTCCCCGTCCTGCCGACCCCCCCACTCAGTATGGCCTCTCTTCCCTCTTCAGAATTCAAATGGGATCTACACTGGCTTCATTAAGGTGCAGATGGAGCTCTACAAACCGACTCAGACCCCGCCCGGGAGCGGCGACTGTGTGAACACACTGCACATCAGTAGTGCCAACACCGTGGGGGAGGTGATCGAGGCCCTGCTCAAGAAGTGTCTGGTGACGGAGAGCCCCACCAAGTTTGCACTTTATAAGCGCTGTCACAGGGATGGCCAAGGTAACATCGCCACACTCAGAACGCGCGTGGCCTGTCCGCTCTGTGTGCATCCCTGGTGTTCGTGGGAAGGACAGCTGATGGATACCGTGCGCGCTAAGCTGTGTCAGAGCCCAGGGGCAGACTGGGGTGGGCGATGGATGTCACAGAGTATCTTTTTTGAGTTGAAGAGTGGTTGAGGGTCTCCGAGGCCGCCGTGTGTTGGAGACGTGTGTGGAGGATCTATCCGCTGGCCTGTCCAGAAGGGGGCAGGTTTCGTGAGGCTGAGGTGACAGTGATTTTCCTGCCCTCGAGGACACAAAGGAACACTTCTGTGGTTGAAGTCTTCAGTGATGCGTTCACATTTGAAGTCCACGCCACGCGTGTGCGGTGGCTTCATGGACCAGGAGGCACACGTGTAACCCATTCCACGTGTAAAAAAGTGGTGTTTTGAGCTAGGATTTGTCTGAATCAGCGCCCATGCCCAGTGGATAGAAAGAATATTTAGGTCACCCCAGGAAATGGGGTGGGGTGTCCTGGGTGAGGCGTTTGAATAAGTCTTCTGGAAAAGCCTACAGCAGCCATAGAAGAAATCAATCTGAGTTTGACGTGACGGTAATGTCCTTCACGTGCACGGAGTGACTGCCCCAGTTTGTTAAACACAGGCCCTCGGGAGCAGAGAGACAGGCAGGCAGAGCTCCGGCCCTCCTGAAGCCTGGCTCAGCTGCTTGGCTGAGGAGCAGCAGTCACCAGGACACTACGGTGTAAGATGCATCTGAAGTATGGAGGGACAGGGAAGGGCTGACGACATTTCTAGCTTGCCAGCTCACCTGGACATCAGCTGCACCATCTAAGGTGGCGGTGTTGTGCTGAGCCGGCCGTCGCCCTGTGGCTGGCGTATCTTTGGACACTAGAGTTCCTCTGTGTGGAGGCACGTTTGTGTGACAAGTGCCTGGCAAGTTCTTAATCTGCAGAGAGGTCTGGGTTTGTGTTTGGTTGAGACCTTTTCATGGTTTTTAAAGGGGCCTCCTAGTCCCCACAGAAATTTGCCATCGCTCTGACAGGAAGGACAGGGAGAATCATAGGCATATTTGAGGCAAATTCCTATTTTATTTTGTTATTGGAACTCGCTTTCTCCTCATCAAGGCTGAGTATACGGGCAGTTTGTGCACTGTGGCCCGTGGTGTTAGGGTTAGATTGGGGATACAGAGGCGTGGGTGTAGGCGCCTCTGTGATGTCAGGACGGGGTGTGGGGTGTCTGGGTTGTTACTGTGATGGTCAGGATGGGGGTGGGATGGGGGACACTGTCTCGGCGTCACTGGAGTCCTCTGTAACCTCTTCTTTGTCACCTTTCCCAGTGTATGCCTGCAAGCTCTCTGACCGGGAACACCCACTCTACCTGCGTTTGGTAGCAGGACCCAGAACCGACACGCTTAGTTTTGTTCTTCGAGAACATGAAATTGGAGAGGTAAGAGAGGAACCGCTCACCTTGGCATCAAACTACACAGAACAGGCGGCCCGAGGAGGTGGGGCGGGGGGGGGGGTAGGAAGGGGAGAGCACAATTCTCTGAGGACGCTATATTGCCACGTGTCCCTCGGGAGCCACACAGAGAGCAGCTGTCACCTCTTCCAGCTCCACAGGATTGAGAGAGAGCTACATCTGCTACCAAGACTCCAGGCCAGCCCTCTTTCCCCGGGAAACGAAGGGACTCCGCTTCCCTCTTTATCCGGTCCAAGGACCCGGGAGTTCTGTTTGCAAGAGCATCCCTGTCTCCCCGGGGATGATGGGTGTACTAGGGTGTCCACTGAGAAGCATGTCAGGCTGCCCTACACGTCATCTGGAGCTCTCAGTGGTCCTGGACAAGCTCTCCAGCCCGTGTCCCCAGACTTCAGAGGTCTGAAGTGTCCTGTGAGGCAGTCAGTCCACGAAGCTGGGAGAACAGGGGACCAACGTTGTGCTTAGATGGGGGACAAGACCTGAGGCAAATCTAATTATTCTAGCCTTTCCACTCAGAGAGATCTGTGACGTGACACTAAAATATACTTCCTTTAAAGTTATTATTAGAGGAGTGGTGGCGCCACCTGTCTTTAATCCCAGCACTCGGGAGGCAGATCTGAGTTCGAGGCCAGCCTGGTCTACAGAGTGAGTTCCAGGACAGCCAGGACTGTATGCGTATATATATGTATGTATATGCATACACACATGTAATATGTGTACGTGGTGATGACTGAAGATGTGACCACACACGTGTATCACACATACGTACACACATCTTCGATCATACCATGGCACGCAAGTAGAGATGAGCGGACAGCCAGGTGGAGATGGTTCCCTTCCACATTTGTTTAGGTGGGTCCCAGGGTAGAGCTCGGGTCACCCAGTTTGTGAAGCAGTTTCCTTGATAGTTGGTGCTTTTATAAAAAAAAAATGTTTTAATTATATTTTACTGTTTGGTGTGGATCTGTGCTCACGGGCTTGGTGTGGCATGCGTGTGGAAGTCAGAGGACTCTTGCAGGAGTCAGTTCACCTGTGTCGTCAAGCTCGGCAAAAGATGGCATTGCCCACCGATGCTTCACACTGTCCTCTCCCTACTGTGTGCGCGTGTGTGTGTGAGCGCGCGTGTGTGTGAGCACGCGCGTGTGCATTTGTGCGTGCTGTGTAGTGCCTGCGTGTGTGAGCGTGTGCGTGTGCATTTGTGAGTGCTGTGTAGTGCCTGCGTGCGTGAGCGCACGCGTGTGCATTTGTGCGTGCTGTGTAGTGCCTGCGTGCGTGAGCGCGCGCGTGTGCATTTGTGCGTGCTGTGTAGTGCCTGCGTGCGTGAGCGCGCGCGTGTGTGCATTTGTGCGTGCTGTGTAGTGCCTGCGTGTGTGAGCGCGCGCGTGTGCATTTGTGTGTGCTGTGTAGTGCCTGCGTGCGTGTGTGCGCGTGCAGTATAGTGTCTGATGTGGGGAGGGGCGTTCTGAGGCACTAGAACTGTTATAAGGACTAGAAACAAACTCCGAGTAGTGAGACACATCCAGCTGCCGTTTGGGGCGGGCGCAGGTGAGGGAGGACACTAAGCAAGCGTTGTGCCAGCCACTGCAGTCTGGATTGTGAGCAGGGCTTCTGAGTGGCAAAATGGGAGCCTGGCATGGGAAGGTGAGGGAGAAGATCCTTCCCTGACAATCTCCTCAGGACGGCAGGTGCTCGTCAAGATCCGAAGGGCGAGCAGGAAATTGCTAGGCAGAGCAGAGCAGGGGAGAGCATGCCCTAAGCCAGGTGGGGTGCTGAGTGAGGATAAACATGGGACTGGGGAGCAAGAGCATTGCTTACTTCGTGTAAACATTCAGTGGGTGCCAACTGAATGCTTTTAACCACGAGTGCTTGCCGTGGCTGTGTGTGTGGGAGGGCCAGGGGTGGTTGGAGAGAGCAAGAGGTAGACAAGAAGGCTGATGCTGGCATGTAGGACGGATGAGAAAGCAGATGGACTCCAGAACTGTCTGGAGTTGATGAGAAGGCGGCAGGCAAGACTGACTCGAGATGCAGATGCGGGGAGATGGGATGCAGATGTGCGGAGTTGGGATGCAGATGCAGGGAATTGGAGGCAGATATGGGGAGTTGATCCCTCTGGAGGGTTGGTTGCACTAGGAGCTGTCCTGGGGGGGGTACTGAAATAATCGTGACCGTGAGTTAACGAGGCACCTCCCTCTCTGCCCCCCACAGTGGGAAGCCTTCAGCCTCCCGGAGCTGCAGAACTTCCTGCGCATCTTGGACAAAGAAGAAGAAGAACAGCTTCAGACCCTGAAACGGCGTTACACGGCCTACAGGCAGAAGCTGGAGGACGCCCTGGGTGAGGTGTGGAAGCCTGGCTAAGGCCTAGGGCTTCCCGCCCGCATGGCACGGCTCGGGACCATGAAGGGGCGGCATGGTGTCTGCTCAGAGAGCCGCTGCCGTGTCCCACCATGCTGGGAATCACCCTCGTTTCTCTCCAGACACAGTTCTTAAAGCCTGCTCACGCGGCACCCCGCGCCTCACGGATTGGCACAAGGGACTCTGCAAACTTGTCCCGTCTTGGCATGGCAATGTTACCTCTTGCAAGCTGTGAGCCTGTGGTCATCAGGCACACCCTGGATTGCTTGGAAACGAGGACTGTGGCTTGACTTCCCCTGTTTTCTTCTAGTGACTTTATGCGATTTTTGTTGAGCTTCAGGGTGTGCAGCTTTGGAATACTTGCCCTGTGGTGGAACTAGCTGCTTGGTTTTCTTCTGTCAGAACAGTCTGTCCCCGTGACCTGAGAGACAGGAATTTAGGATCTCGGGGGGTGGGGGGGTCGGGAAAAAGATTTTGTAAGAGTTTTGACAAAGAACGCAAAGTGCATGTTGCGAAGGTAGAGGAGAGAGGCGAGAGCCCATGGCTTGGGGAGGTGATGTAGCGTCTAAGTTAGCGATAAAGGAGGAAGGTGTATTTGTAAAGGAGTTAAGAGCATTCAGGGTTGATGCCAAGTGCATTTTCAGACTGCTGGATTTGCTAGTTGTACAGTTGGGGGTCAGAGCTGAAGGGCTGGGAGCTAAGTCCAAAGGAGGCATGCCTGTGGCAGCTTACCCTTGACTGAGGTAGGACTCCTTCGGCTGGACCTGGCCTCTGTCCTGGACGGTCCCCAGGCATATAGCTTCTCTGTGTAGGTGGGGCTGAGCACGGCTGATTCCTGTCAAATGCAGTTTCTTCCCCCCCCCCCCAGAAGTTGTTCTCAGAGGTAATAATGGAGTTTAGGTAAGGGTAGCTGTCTACCCTCCACCTCTTAGCTAGATGTATCAAGTTCAGGGCTCACAGCAAACCTTGTGACAATCACTGCCCCCGCCCCCAACCCCTCTCCAAAATTCTTACAAAGTAGAGGACAGGGATGTTGACTAAAGGCCCAATCCTACCACATCCTTGCCTAGAAGAGATTTGACTAAGGGTCCCAAAGAAGGAGTCCACGCCCGGGTGACCGCACCACAGGCCTTCATTACGGAACTATTTTAACGGACGTGTGCCTGTGCCTTCCAACCAAAGCAGTGCGTGTGCAATAGAAACCTCCCGAGGATGGCCATCCCTCGAAGCAGCTTGCAGATCCGAGAGCGGGGGACCGGCGGTGCTGGGCTTCCGGAGGGGTCTTACAGTCGGTCTGTTTTTAGTCTAGATAGATTTTGCTGTTGTTTATAAATTCCCAAGGAATTGTTAACTCGGTGACACTTAATGGATTCTTTTGGAAATTCCAAGGTGTCCCGGCTATTTACCTTTCTATGAACCGTGCCTTTTGAGTATCTGTCCCCTTGTGGTGACTCTCCTGACTTGTCAGAGAACGTCATCCTGGGGGAGGGGGGAGGGGGAGGGGGCAGATCCAAGTTCGGGTTGTGCTGCACAAGCTCCAGAGACAATCAGATCTTCTACGCTATTAGGAAGAGTTGGAAAAGAAACAGAAACAGTAGAACTAGCTATAGAATATGAACGGCACATCTTGTTTAATTTTGCATGCAATTTTCTTCTTAGTGTATCATTGAGGTTTTAGTGACACCGTCACCCAACACTCTGCCTTTGTTGTTCAGGGAATGCCTTCCTGGTTTCCTTACTGGTTTTACTCTTGAGACCGTGGCTTGGGTTTGCGTATGCTGTCTCCGGCCAGCCACCTGGTCTTCTGATTACTCTTCCCGGTAGGCTTGGAGTTTTTTTGTGAGGCATTAGTTTCTCAGTTTAAGACCCTGTTAGAACCTAAAAGTAGTAGCTGATGGCTATCTGTGAAGTTTTTTTTTTTTTATTTTATTTTATTTACTTGAAGTAGAGTGAGTGATGCAGGAACCCTCATCTGTATCCATCCGAACCTCCATCACTGTCCTGTGCACCACACTTGTGATTTAGGAAGTGAAGACCGGCCACTTCCTGATTCCCGAAGACTGCTGTTCTCCCAAACACTGGCTCCTGCAGCCTTCTTAAAGCGTAAAAGAAGGAAAAGGCCCCCAGAGGCCAAAGAGCTTTACTTGTAACCATTGTTTGAATCCTGTAAAAAAAGGAAATTAAGCTTTGCTGTAATACTGTTTTCTCTCCAGAATGTGATGGTACCGGAATGGTGTTAAATGAAGGGTGGAGTTGCAGGGGAGCATTTTAAATCTAGATTTTAAAGCTATATTTATAATGTTGATGAGTCTAAGTTTTATTTTTATAGGGAAGATGTTTCTCCCCTGTAATTGTGTCTGGAATGGCAAAATTGTTCCTACTATTAAAATTGAAGTTGTTAGTTGATATTTGTATGCCTTTATTTATGATAAGGTAATATATATTCAGTTTTGGAACAAGCTCTTCGGGAGACGTACATACCAGAATTCAATAGTGTTCACAGGGTTTTGTTTTGTTTCTGGGGAGGGGCACATCCTTCCTCTAAACACCGTTTTTCTTTCCTTGTTCTGGCCCTGTGTTTGCCTGTGCTGGACATTAAAATTGTTTCCCGTGTGAACTACATACACATTGGAAACTTAAAGAAAAGTCATGCAAGCACTGAAGAACATTGCAAAGTGGCGATCCTGTGCCTGACGCCAACAGAAGCAGGCTGTCCGTAGAAACCTCCGCCTGCCCCTGCCATTCTTGTCCTGTTGGCTTTTTGTCCCCCTGAAACAGGCCACTGGAGTAGCAGGGAATGTTCGGTGTTAGGTTCCTACACCGTTTTTGCAACTGGTATGCAGAAGTTCTCTTGGATTTGGTGGGGACTGCCTCCCCTTGATCAAAGTGTTCTGCTATACTGCCCCCTAGAGGCCGTGTTGGAGTGACTGCCAGGCCCTAGGAAGGGACTCTGGATAGACACTTCTGCGTAATACAGGGGAGGCTTCTTTACAAAATATACTGTCAGTTGATAAGCCCCACCACCACCACTAATTAAATACTCTGGGGGCTGGAAAGATGGTGCAGTGGCTAAGGGCATTGACTGTTGATCCAGAGAAGCAGGGTTCATTTCCCAGCAGTTTCAAGGTGATTTGGCGCCCTCTTGTGGACTCCATGGGCATTCCATGCATTTGGTGCACAAACACATGCAGGCAAAATACCCATACACATAAAATAAAAATCTCTTAACTAACACGGACGAGGCAGAGGTAACTGGATCTCTCAATTCAAGGCCAGCCTAGTGTAGATAGTTCTAGGCCAGCTAAGGCTACGGAGAGAGACAGACACCTTGTCTCAAAAACTAAAACCACAGACTATACTTTTCTTAGAAGTATTCAAAGTGGCAACACAACAGCTGTTTTGCTTTTTTATGTATTGTGGGAGGGTTTTTTTTTGTGTGTGTGTTTGTGTGTGTGTGTGTGTGTGTGTGTGTGTGTGTGTGTTGCAAAGTGTTAGTCAACAGAACAATTATTTTCGTAGATGTTATGTCAAAGAAAACCGCCCAAGGAAGAGCCTGCTTTAGCCGGGCATTGGTGGCACACGCCTTTATTACCAGCGCTCGGGATAGGGGCAGGTGGATCTCTGTGAGTTCGAGGCCAGCCTGGTTTACAGAGCTGAGTTCCAGGACAGCTCCAAAGCTACACAGAGAAACCCTGTCTGGAAAAAGGAAAGAAACACACGCCCTGTTTACATTTCCAATCTATTTATAAGGCCCACACTGTACCAGCTTGGTTAGTGCTACTGAGAACCATCAGGAAGGGCTATCTAAGGCACGTGGCGTGAAGAGGCTAAAGAGATTGGCTGGGGAGGAGGGGTCGGATCAGGGAACCAGCCCCAAAGTTACCCTTGCTGTTGGTCCAATAATTTCTGGAGCTACCGGGGGAAAAAAGAGGCTTCAGGACCAGCTCAAGCAAACATCCACAGTTGCTGGGAGATGACCCACTCCGCCACCCTCAAGACCAGCGTCCTCTGCAATGGAACTAAGTATATAGGATCTGCCACATGCCGGTTTCTGCTGCAAGCGGCTGTTTGCTTCTTTCCGTGTTCTAGACAGAATCTTGGCTTAAGGGTTAACGGGTTGGGGGCAGGCCAGGTGAAAGCTGTAAGGGACAGAGCGGGGAGTGGCCAGCTAGGGAGAAGTACTTCCAGGTTGATCTCATCAGGCTCTCGTGCAGGGGTGGGTTTACGCTTTGGTTTCTGGTCTGGTGTTGTGTCTTTTTGTCAGATTCCTGGTTGACTCCATAGCTGCAGAGTCCAGGAGCAGCTCAAGGTTTCAAACACTGACTTCCAAGAGACACTTTTCTGAAGACATTAAGTCTGTGCTGTTTGGTTGTTGTTGGTGGTTTTCAAGACAGAGTTCTCTGTGTGGCCCTGGTTGTCCTGGAACTCACTCTGAAGACCAGGCTGACCTCGAATTCACAGAGATCCACCTGCCTCTGCCTCTGGAGTGCCGGGATTAAAGGTGTGCTCTGCCGCCACCCTCCAGCCACTCAGGTTCTGTTTGTCTCTGGACTCTGCCACCGTAACAGGTTCTCAACTGCACGCGTTGGCGCTGAGCTCCGTCTCCTGTTTCTAAGGAAGGTAAGTTGGTACTCTGAAATGTTGATACACACAGCAATACAGCAGGGCTCTAAACTTCAAGGAGTTTCACTCTGTTCTAGGGAGGGAATTGTTTGAACCAGGCTAAGTTTTGTTGTTTTCGTTTGTTAGGTTTTTTGTTGTTGTTGTTTTTGAGACAGGGTTTCTCTGTGTAGCTCTGGCTGATGGGAAATGTCCTTAGTGGTTGATAAATAAAACACTGATTGGCCAGTTGCCAGGCAGGAAGTATGGGTAGAGCTACAAGACAATGAAAATTCTGGGAAGAGAGAGGTACTGGGAAGGTAGGGTGCCCGGGCGGGCATTCATTCTCCGGTGAGGCCATATGGAAATAGGTAGATTGATAGGGTTAATAATTGAGAGAGCTAGCCAATAAGAAGCCTGAGCCATCAGTCAAACAGTTTGTAACTAATGTAAACCTCAGTATGTTTATTTGAGACTGAAGGGTAGTGGGACTAAGCAGAACAGAAACTGTCTATACCTACACCTGGCTGTCCTGGAACTCTGCAGACCAGACTGGCCTTGATTTCAAAGATCCACCTGCCTCTGCTTCCCAAGTGCTGGAATTAAAGGTGCCTGGGGTCCCTGCCCAGTGGCCAGTCACGTGGGATCAGAGGCGTGGGCTGATACTACAGCCCAGCTGATACGCATATTCCTATTACCTTTTATTTTTAATCATCTTTCATCTATATTAGTAAGCTCTGCCCTTGACTTGGAAAGAAACTCCAAGTCTCTCAGTTTCATTAACTGACCAATTTTACTTTTGGACAGGGTCTCATTTTGTAGCCCAAACTGGCTCAGAATTTACTGTGCAGCCACGGTAGCCTCCAGCTT